CCTCTCCCTCTGCCCCTCCCCGCATTGGTCTGTCTGTCTCTCTCTCTCTCTCTCTCTCTCTCTCTCTCTCTCTCTTTCTCTCACTCTTGCTCTATTTCAGATAAATAAAATCTTTAAAAAAATAAGATACACATTTTATTTTTATTTATTTATTTGTTTTAAGATACACATTTTAAAGCACAAATTTTAAACTGAGTCTGGTGACATAACTCAGAATCAGACTTGAACTTAATTTTCTTTCCCTACCAATTTAGCTCTTCCTATAATTCCTATTCTTGCTAATGATATCACCATTTACCCACCTAGCCCAATCTAAAACCCAGAGGTAATTATAGATTTCAGTCTTTCCAGCTGAATATCTGAGTCCATCTTTTAATCTTTTCTGCTACTATCTTAAATTAGGCCCACTTTATTTTATACTAAACCAGAGATTGTGATTTCAAATGTTTACCAGAAGCAGTCAGGTAATAAAATGCGTGAAGGAGGATGCTGTTGGTGGACTTGGGCAGGATGTCCTGTATTGCAAGGGGGCTGCTGTTTCTCTATCTGGGCATTAATATGGGTTCATATTTGACGAAGCCGATTATTCAAGAGGACTAGAAATCTGAATTCTTGTGTGAAATCTTCTAATTTCTAAGTCATGGTGCAAGTCAAACAAAATATGACTGCAGGCCACAAGTTTGTAACCCGTGACCATTTATTATTGTGTCCCCCTAACCTGATTTACTTTCCTTCAAACTAATCTACTCCCAGCTTTTTCACCATCCTCCCTGTACTAGCATAATCTCTCTGAAGTGCCAATCAGACAGGATTTTAGAGGTGGTTATATAACTGAACTGACATGAGTTAGTTCCTTGGTTGACTTACAGATGGAAACTACATCAGATGGAGTTGTTGCACAGTCAACTTTATTCGCAGCAAATAAGGAGATTGTGGAATGTGTTCCAGAGCTGTGATTCTCCAACAGCGAATGGATTCCTTTTATTTAGGGTTAGGGTGAATATTTAGAAAGGAGATCCTTGTTATATCATATGTAGAAGCAGGCATAGGGTCACATATGTGTCTCAAGGAAACATGCCTAGACATGCATGTTTGTTATGTTAATGAGGCTTATGCTCCTTTTTGGGTGGAGAATTTAGCATCATAATGAGATGGAGGTCACTGTTGGTCACCCCATGGTCCATCTGTGCAGGTATGAGTGGGCGGATAGGCTCAAACTGATCTGAGTGGTCTGGGCCTCCTGAGCCCTTCCCCATAGCAGTTCTAGTGTGAGGGGTAGTTTTGGTTTCCATAATGGGATGCTATGCCCTTTGGGTCTTTTGCCTGAGTTAAGAGATAAGTTGGAAAGAAGAACTTAAGGAAAATGTGGAACAAAGGTTGGTAGGTACATGCAGGTAGGCGGTAAAGTTCAGTCTTAGGGTCTTGGTGACAAGAGGCTTAACTGCACTAAAACGTACCATTTTTAGGAGAGTTCTTGATACTTGGGTAGTAAGTGCTCAGTAAATGTTATTTGTTGGCTGTTACCTTTCACTTAGTTAAAAGCCCTGAATGACTCGCATTTATGCTTAGTGTATTTTAACAGGCAGAAAGGTATTTTATCATAACTCCTACCTGTTATGGAGCTCTACTTTCATCTTCTGCTATTTCACTGAATATACTCAAGCCATGTCTAAACTCATGTGTATCAGTCTGTTTCATACCCTTACACCTCTTCCTCCCCTGCCCTGACTTGTGAACCCTTATTCCTCCCCACCCACTCCAAGATTAGTTCAAGTATCTCCTCTTCTGTGAAACCTTTGACTACTCTTAAACCGTTGAAGAGCCAATTTCTCCCTTTTTTGCATCCCCATAAGATTGTGAACTCCCTAAGGCAGGGACTATATTTTATCCTCAGCATTCTCAGTGAGTTGTGCAGTGCTGTGCTGGTACATAGCGTAAATCTGCAGTAAATGTTAGCTGTAAATAATACAACTAGTAAGAGTTAGTGCTGGAACTTGAGCCTCTACCTGACTGAATTTCTTGCTCTTCATATTGTACTGCCTTAGAGGAAAGAAGCTGTGGCTACTCTATATTAGGGACCCAGCATATACAGTCTCCTATCTGAGGACCTATAGTAGCTCAGGGCATTATGGTTGCAACTAAATGCATTTAGAAACATTTTTATACTCCAAGGTAATACAGTAGCATTAAGGATACTCTTTTCTCTAATAAGTGGTATGTAAGGTGAAATCCCCAGTTAAGTAGTGTGTTTTGCCAGTCAGGTAAAGCAATTCTGTTTTCCTACTTTAGAAGTTTGATGGCAAATGATTGGAGACACTACATCTATTTATAGGTAGCTTGACTGCCAGATTTGTTATCGCCTTTCCCCAGGCTTGATAAACGAAAGAATGTTGGACTTAACTATTGGTAGTGTCTCCATTAATGACTAGGGGAGTCTGGAGAAAACATGTGGACAGGAAATTCAAGGGCACCTAGTGTTGTTTTTTTATCAGTCCAGGAATTCTAGACTTGCAAATTGTATCCTGTTCTTTTTCTGACTAAAGAAAGGGCTTCAGTAAAAGACAAAGGACAGTGTTAAATCCATTAGAGGAATAAATTTGCAATATAATAAGTGCCAGTCATCTAGATCATTCTTTGTAATAATTTGGTCACTCTTGTTCTTGGTTTTGTTTAATTTGAAGTTTTAAAGCCTATTTGTGTCTGCTTAGAAGGAAATTATTTTTTCTTGTTTTTAAAGCTCATTTCTAAAGGATATTATTTAATCAAGACTAGGGTTGGGATTTTGTCTTTTTCTGCAATTATATCTCTCAAGTAGGATTTTTCCCCCCTGAAATTAACATAACACTAAATGATTCTGTAGTTTTTAATCCAAAGAAAACTATTACACATGAAACATATAATTTCAACTCCATTAAATTTGAGTTCTGTTACCATCATTTAGTGAATGCCTACTCTGTTCTCAGCACTTTGCCAGATGTTATAATACTTTATTACAAAGATGAATAGGTTTTGCTCTAATTTGGTTTTTAAACACAGTATACTATACTTTCAGGTATGTATGTATAACTAGAGTGGAAAGGCTTAATCATGATTAGGTTTGTAGTGTCTGGAAGTTGTTTTTCATTACTCAACATCCACCTTTGAATTTTGGAGTTAAACTCATTACATCTTCTTATGATGGGAGAAACCTGATCTTGTGTTTAATCCCTCTTTTATAAAGACCTCAGATTCTTACATTCATATCTAATACAACTTCATATTTATTTCTGTACTGTTGATGCATACAATTGTTTAGAATTGTTTTGAATTCCGTAGCATTTTTTTTTAGTTTATTTATGATAGTCACAGAGAGAGAGAGAGAGAGAGAGAGAAGAGAGAGAGAGAGAGAGAGAGAGAGAGAGAGAGAGAGAGAGGTAGAGACACAGGCAGAGGGAGAAGCAGTCTCCATGCACCGGGAGCCTGACGTGGGATTTGATCCCGGGTCTCCAGGATCGCGCCCTGGGCCAAAGGCAGGCGCTAAACCACTGCGCCACCCAGGCATCCCCGTAGCATTTTTTTGTGTTAAAAATGTCCCCCAAAATTTTGCTCAGTAATAATTCTGCTCAGCTCGAGCTCCTCAGTTTTTCCTCAATCTGGGAAAGCCCAGTCAGCAGGAGAACTTAGTGCTGGCCATCTCCAGCTACTTTAAAGTACCTTGGGTGAGATAGTGATCAGTCTGTTATTTATTTATTTTTAAGAATCTGCCTTAGTCAGACGCCCTTAAACATTTATTGATTGATTGATTTTATTTATTTATTTATGACCGACACAAAGAGGCAGAGACATAGGCAGAAGGAGAAGCAGGCTCCCTGTCAGGAGCCTGATGCGTGACTCCATCCCAGGACCCTCGGATCATGCCCTCAGCCAAAGGCAGATCTGCTCAACCACTCAGCCACCCAAGCATCCCCCATTAAATGTTTAAATTGAGTAACAGTTCTCTTTGTTTGGATGCCATGCTCACCAAGCAATCTTCTGATCCTAATTAAAGGCTTTACATCTGGCTTGCTTGCAAGGATGGAATACATTTGCCAGAAGATGCAAGTCTCTGTTCCTTGTTGCTCAGTTTCTTAGTGTGTAAATCAGTAAATTGCTATTATGTCATACATATCAGTCTCTTTTGAACTCTGTTAGGATAAAGTAGCTTCCAGAATTTGATTACTCTGGGTCTCTGGAAGCTGAAGGTCAGAGCTTGCTCTACAAAGTCCCTTGGCAGCCAGTCAACTGCCTTCCAAGGCCATACCCTGAATTTATCACACATCTTTCTTTCTGACTTCCACAAGCATTACTTAGGTGTTATTTCTTTGTGCTTTTATTTAAGAGGCATCACAGATGATTTTGGTTGGTTGGTTTTTTCAGTATTCACTTTTTCTTTTAGATTTAAAAAAAAATGTTCATAAGAGACACACACAGAGAGAGAGAGAGAGGCAGAAACATAGGCAGAGGGAGAGGCAGGCTCCTTGCAGGAAGCCTGATGTGGGACTGGATCCTTGTACCCAGGATCACATCCTGAGCCAAAGGCAGACGTTCAACTGCTGAGCCACCCAGGGATCCCACTTTTTGAAAGGACCATATGGACCTTGGATAGCCATAGTTGGGTCTTGGCTGTTTTTCTTCCTAGGAATTGGCAAAGCAATTTGAAAATTCTTGATCAGGTTCAGATCATCTGGACAAATGAGAAACGGATCTGGAACCCCTGGATATTGCTCTTTGTTAGAGTTTCTAAGTTTTTTTACCCCGTCCAAATGTTGAAAAAATGTAACAGGCACTTCTTGTGTTTGATGAGAATTATTTGTGAACTTAAATTACATATGCCTAAAGGAAGCTCCTTAGAACACCACTGCAAGTTTTATCTGTTCCCCTTTTAAGGATTTAGGATGCACATTAGCCTATTAAAGATGCTAAGAATATGAGGATAGAAAGTGTTTTTCTCCTGAACAATTTGTGTTTATATGTTGTTTCAGTTTCAGTTACTATGGCAATGACAGCAGGGACCACAAGCACCTTTCCTATGAGCAACCATACCCGGGAAAGAGTGACCGTGGCCAAGCTCACGTTGGAGAATTTTTACAGCAACCTAATTTTACAGCATGAAGAGAGAGAAACCAGGTATAGTAAAGGCTGGTCAGAATTTTCTGTTTGGTTTAATAAGCTGTTGTGTTGCAAGTGGAGAATATAGACATGTTGTCCATTAATAATATAAATATTGTGGATCCTTATATGATGTTTTTAGGTTTCCTATTCAAGCTGACAGTGTCTCTAGTTATTTTCACAGAACGGTTTCTTGACTGTGCACCTATACGTTAATATCACATGTCAACTGATATCTTAAATAAAACATTTCCAACCATAAAATTATATCTTTATACTTTATGAATAGTTAATATTATTAATTATCCAAAAACATGTATAGGGTGCAAGTGCAGGTGGAAGAATAAAAACATGAACGACATGTTATTTTGCCTTCAGAAAACTCTAGTAAGAGAGTTAATATCCATAAATATTACATGAAAGAGTGAAAAGCATCACAAAGAGAAGGGCAAAGAAGGGAGAGATTGCTTTTGACTGAAGTAACTGGAAGGACTTCCTAAATGGTAGTGGCATTTATCAGGGCTCTCAAGGAAGAGCATTAATTATATATGCATTAATGGGAGAAGAAAAAGATAAAAGAGCAGGAGGAAGGATATTACAGACAGAAGAAATCACCTTTGGTGCTGGGTCAAGCAAGAGCCATTTAGCTTGAACTGGATTCAGCATATCCTGGGAGCCTTAGACCACTTTGTTTTTTTTTTGTTGTTGTTTTTTTTAAAGATTTTATTTATTTATTCATAGAGACACCACACACACACACACACAGAGAGAGAGAGAGAGAGAGAGAGAGAGAGAGGCAGAGAGAGAAGTAGGCACCATTTAGAGAGCCTGAGGTGGGACTCGATCCAGGGTCTCCAGGATCTTGCCCTGGGCCGCAGGCGGCGCTAAACCACTGCGCCACCGGGGCTGCCCGACACTATGTTAATATAGCTATTCTCTTGGGAGTAGAGAGCCTTGAAGATTTTTGAACAGAATCAATGATCTTGGGTGTTTCTCTAGAAGAGTACTTTAGTTGTGATGTACAGAATGGATTATGTGTAGAGAGGTAAGAAACAAGAAAGGCTAGTGATGTAGTCCAGACACATGAAAAGGAAGCTTGAATTAGGATGGTGACAACAATAGAACAGAATTTAGGATTAAGAAAGGTGGAAAGATGTGGTGCCTAGCTAGGTATGAAATGTTGGACAGGTCTAACTGCAGATCAGCCAAGCTGAGCAGAAAATTGAACTAGAAAATAAAACTTGAGTAATTATTCAGAAGTCAACCTAGAGACACAGAGTAGGAAAATATGAAGGAAAGTTAAGAAATACGGAGAATGGTGAGGAGAGCAAACATCTCCAACCAAAGTTCCTAAAGGAAGTGAAGAAAGAAACTCGAGTGGAGGCAGGTTAAACTAAATTCAGCATCAGCAGAACTTCCAGAAGATTCAATTTAGGTCTAAGGAAAGTGATCATAAATGGATCTGAGTGTAAATGTGTGGATATATCTCAACACGAATGGCATAAAAACAACAACAACATTGGTAATAATGTCTTAGACATTTTTAAAAGTAGAATTAAAATATTTTCCAATGGTAGACTATCAGTCAGGAGGAAAGTAAGTGGAATTAAAGTGTTCCTAGAGGTCTTTGTATCTCCTCAATAGAGGTACAACATACAGAGTGGCAAAGATCGATTCATTTCAGACTAATAGAGTTTTTAACTTCCAAACTGGTAGAAGGGAAACACGGAATGAGAAAAAAACCTGGTTCAAAATAAGGCAAGGGGAAAAAAAAAATCCTGAAACACCAAAAAGTCGACACAAATAGAAACCATGCAATCAGAAATGAATCCAAACATATGAGTAATTATACTAATTGTGAATACAATGAAAGTCTCTGGAAATCATCCAATCACCAAAGGAGAATGAACAAAGTAGAACAGAATCAGGGAAAGAAAGACTGCTTTATCAGGAGGCAGACAAGTTATGAATCAGAATTTTGAAGACTTGTCTTTTCTTGATGAACTCTCTCAGTAATTCGGTTTTGCCCTCTATTTCCAAACAAAGAAAAGAATAAAAGTATCTGCTGTTATTTAAAAAAAAAAAAAAAGTCTCAGCTTGGTGCCATGGAAGTCCTAATCAACAATCAGCCCCCTTTTTCTCAAAGCTTGTGCTTTAGGACTACATGTGATGAATTTTTAAGGCTTAACTCATTGGATATATACATAATCCAAATAAAGTATGAATCAGAACAAAATGTCAGAGCATTTAGGAGGAAAACTGTTTTCTTTAAGGTACAAGAGAAGTCCCAGGTCTTCTCATTTAGATATGGTAGAAATGGGTGACGGTTACTGTTTCTCTCTCTGGAGTAAGGGATGACTTCATGAAGTGTTAGTTTTGGCAAGTACGGGAGAGGGGGCAGTAGAGATTTGGCAGTAGAATGAAATTGCTTGTATATTGATGGGCGCTCCCAGGTTAGTGGTCCTCCTACACTGTGGATTCTGTCTGCAGAGGAGAAAACTCAAAGTCATTCAACAAGCAGCCCTGCAGTGCCCAGAGGCTCATGATGGCAGGCCTTGAGCTTATTCCATCCTAAGGGCTGGGCTTAGAAAAATAGTGTGTATAAAAGGATAAAAAAAAATCAGTGTGATAAGCACCAAGGTGTCTGTTATAAATGTTGAAGAAGTAGGCAGAGAACATGTCAATAGGTATCATTGTCATTGGGGTGCTGATTTATGAACAGGCTTTAGATATTTTTGTGATGAATTTCCCATAAGAATAATGGGTTAGGAAAGAGCTTACCTTTAGACATAGTATCATAGATGACAAACACTAAAAAAAAAAAAGAAAATGTATATGATGATTTCAATCCTCAACCCTTATATTCCCCTGTAGCTAAATCCTGGAAAGTTAGTCTTATTCTAACATACTCCAAAACTACTTCGAAAGAGCTCTCTCAGCTTTATCATTAGGAAAAACCAATACTATAGAAATAAAATAATTGATATTCAGTTGGAAATGAGTTGCGAAATTTGTATCACAGGCATCTCTGTAGTTACTAGTTACTTCATTCATCTACCCTTCCCCCACTTCTCTCCATCCCCCTGCAGTGGTTAGGTTAACTCACTTCAGTGGTGTCGTTTAAAAATGATGTATAACTGGACTTGGCGATGCCTAGAAAAGCAAAGGTTCCGGTGGTTAATGTTTTTTTTTTTAATGTATAGTTTTCAAAGAATCAGAATAAAATACACTCAATTACATTGAACATTTTTTCTTGACTGATTAGGATGCCAAGCTTAGACTTCAAATGAAGGACTTACACAAGCTCATTTAGCTAATAATTATTAGGATCAGGATTCAAGCAGGAATATCCACCTTAAATATTTATACTTTGAGTCACTATAGTTACCTTTGTATACTTCTTCTAATGTAAACATTGATAAATGTTAATGATTTTGGTGGTTTGAATAGTACAACAGATTTTCCTTGTTAGAACATTAGTCACCTTTGCCAATCATTGATTTGAGCAGCATTAGAGGCAAATTTTTCATTTGGCCAGTATGACAAAGTGAAATCTGGGTTGGGTTTGTATTTTGAGAAAGAAAACTATTCTTAGTGGTTATTTTGATTCAACTTGAAATATTTTTTTTTTTTAGCATAGAAAACTGATGTGGTAAGCTCAAATAAATAAGTGAACATTTCTTAAATGGTAATAGTTAGGAATGTATTTAAAATTTAAATTATTTTTTCTTTGAAAAGGCAGAAGAAATTAGAAGTGGCCATGGAAGAGGAAGGATTAGCAGATGAAGAGGTAATGTTAGCTATAATTACTCTGACTGTAGTTAATGATACTATATATTTAAAAGTTACTAAGAGTGGATCTTAAATGTTTTCACTATAAAAAAATTACTTATATGAGGTGATGGATAGCCTTATTGTAGTAATTATTTCATGATATGTATGTGCATCAAAACATCATGTTATAGACCTTAAGCTTGCAGTGCTGTATGTCAGTTATATCCCAAGAAAGTTCGTGCAGGGTCGGGAGGGGGTTAATTACTGTTGAATGACAACCCTGGTGACTTTTTCATTTATTGATATCGGATGATTTTATAACTTAGGTAATGTAGATTTTGTTATTTGAATATGGGCTTCTTACTTTGTTGCTATGATGGAGATCCTTAAAAGGAGGCACCTTTTTATTATTTTAATTCTAGAACATAGATTTAGTGAACAGGGTCTATAGGATCCTAAGTGCATAAAACAAGAAAAGTGGGCTCCAAGAAGAATCCACGAATTACCAAATCTTCTCATATTTTTTCCTGAATATTGCTTAAAACCATCCAGTTCTCTAGTCCATGCCTCTACCCTCTTTTAAACTACTGTGTGTTTCATTTGAAGAAAAATGCCTCCATCTGGTCTTTCTCTTCCTGCAATCTGGGCTGTACTCCCACCCCCAGGTTTTCTGCACACTCCATCCAGAGTTCTCTAAAAACAGGTTTGATCCATCACTCTTTTGCTTACTACCTTTCATTGGCTCCCAAATACTCTTGGATAAGGATAGAGTCTTTAATCTTTAACATTAATGTGCAAGACCCTTCACAGTTTGGCCTCTGCTCTCTCTCTCTAGCTACATCTCTTGTCCCCCGCTCCCATGCTGGCCACCACTACTGAGTTACTTTAACTTCCACAGGCTTGCCTTTAGACCTTTCATAGGCTTTTTCTGCTGCTTAGAAGTTCCTTACTCTTGCCCAATTCTCATTATTCTTCAAGAAGCTCTGGGTCTCACTTTGGGCCTCAGTTCCACTGGGAAATCTTCCCTAATCTCTTGAGGTACTCCTCCTACATTCTACATTAACACTGTTCCTGTCCCTGTGGCAGCCCTCAAATATCATCTCCCCACAGTAGCAATTTCATAATGTCTTACTCAGCATTATTCCTTCAGCAATGGCGGAGAGCCATATATAAAATAAATATTTGGTGAATTAAGTGAACAATGACCTTTCTCTCAGGGAGTTTACCAATTAGAAGGAGACATGATATATGTATGTGTGTAAAAAATATGTATACATGATAGAATGTGGCAAATTTTGAAAATACAAGGATATTCTATATAAGGAATCAGAAAAGGTTTCAAGGTAACAATGGAGGGCAGCCCCCGTGGCGCAGCGGTTTGGCGCCGCCTGCAGCCTGGGGCGTGATCCTGGAGACCCGGGATCGAGTCCCACGTAGGGCTCCCTGCGTGGAGCCTGCTTCTCCCTCTGTCTGTGTCTCTGCCCCTCTCTCTCTGTGTCTATGAATAAAAAAATAAAATCTTAAAAAACAAAAAACGAAAAACAAGGTAACAATTGAATCTTAAAAAAATAAGTAGATTTACGTTAGGATTAAGACATATATACAAAATAATTACAGAACAATGAAAGGACACAGTAAAGGAAATAGCAATATAGATTGACAGCACATAATGGAAATGCTAGGCTTGTAGTAGTTTACTAAGAAATGTACACTTTGTTTTCTAGGCAATAGGGAGATATAACTAAGATTAATTAGTTTAATTTTTCAGGGATCAGAAAAGAATTTCTGTATTTAAAGAGTATTCTAAATGATGATTTGGAATCAAACCATTCTTGAATCTTCCCTATACCTTTCCTAGGACTGTACCTGTATTTTTGCTGTTGGGAATGTTTAAATAAAGTATCTTATGATTTGCACCAAATGTGGTTATTTTGTTAATCAGCTGACTCAATTTAGAAAACCCAAATTATTTGCATAACATTACTACAAGAAACATTTAAAAAACTCATTTAATTAAATTCTTTAGACTTTATTCGAGAAAGGTAGTGATTTAAATATGTATTATAATCAATAAAGAATAAAGCTAAACAACCTTTTCTTACATTTATTCATTAATATTAATAACTTATTAATAATCTTATAAGTATATTAATGCATATTACATATCATTATATATACATATATATAAATCTTAAGCAGAAGATCCTAATTTGAAATCTTGAGAGAGAAATTATAAAAACAGATGCTCAGGGGTCAAGCAGATAACATGAATAGGGAAGATGGGTAGGATGTTTTCATGACATCTTAGGTTATACAGTCTTTTTGACCAACACACTTTGTTTCACATTCAATTCCCAAGAACATTTTTTTCACTTCCATGAAGTAGATTCTTTTTTTTTCTTTTTCTAAAATATCTGATCCTTGCAGTTTATCTTTTGATAAACTTTACTTTTCACTTTACTGAAAGGAAACAAGAACATCAGCCCCATTTTATATGTCACCTGATGATTGACATCAATGGTGGAGACTGTGACCAATTAGAGACCTGATGTCCCTCAAAAGGCAACTGACTGCCACTTTGACCCAGTGTGGCCAAGTTTCTGTTTTTCAAGAAAGGCTGGAAATCTGGACTTCTATGTGAAATCACCTGCTTTTTAAAATATTGGCAAATAATTCAAGTATTTAAAAACAACCTGCAGGCCAAATTAAATACATCTGTGGGTTGAATACAGCTTCTAGTTTGTAACCTCTATGCAGCAGGAAGTGCTAAGTACATTTAGAGCTATTTTCCTCATTAACTTGTAGAAAATGTGATATGATTTATACCTAAAGATAGTGGCCAATAATAACTATAAAACTTCTAATATTTTTCTGTGAAGATATTTTAATTCCACAAATGCTTATTGTTAGTCTCCATGCTAGATTATGTCAAATTCTACAAAATAGACATTCTCCTCTAACCTTAATATTAAATATGTTGGAACTATCATTATGTGGAGTGGATTTTTCTTTTTAAAGATTTTATTTGGGCAGCCTGGGTGGCTCAGCGGTTTAGCTGAGGGTGTGATCCTGGAGACCCGGGGCTGAGTCCCTGTCGGGATCCCTGCATGGAGCCTGCTTTTCTCCCTCTGCCTCTCTCTGTCTCTCTGTGTGTGTGTGAGTGTGTGTGTGTGTCATGAATAAATACATACAATCTTTAAAAAAAATAAAGATTTTATTTATTTGAGAGAAAGAGAGCGTGTGCACAAGTGGGATAAGGGGCAAACAGAGAGGGAGATTTTCTGCTGAGCAGGGAACCTGACATGGGGCTTGATCCCAGGCAGGACCTGGGGATCATGACCTGAACTAAATTCAGACACTTAACTAACTGAGCCACCCAGGACCTCTGGGGTGGATCTCTTGAAAAATAAAATTGTTTTATAAAAATCTAGTTTTAAATTGAAAAATAGTATTTATCCTTAACTTATTCATAATAGAAAATCTTCGTGAAATAATTTGTGAAAATTACTTATGAAAATTAAACCATGTAATGTAGTTCATGTAGAACATATATGTGGAGATGAAGTTGCCAGCTGAACTCTTTCGTATCTCAGAATTTGTGTGTACACTGTCTTATACAAAAACTGAGCATCCCACAGATCGAGAATTGGAGGAACGCCCATTTAAAAAGGAATGGAGAAAGGGAAAAAACGATGTATGTCTAGTTTTGTCTCACTTAAGAAAATCTCATCAGACATGGAATATTATTCACTCTAATGGAAAAACAAAATAGGCAAATTTAAGCTGCAAAAGGGAGCTATGAAATGTTAAGTGTGTCCACAGCTTTTGTTGTCCTCTTTGGCGAGAAAGGATATGATTACCACAAAAACATTATTTGGTTTTCAAGGCTACTTACTTAATCTACGCAAGTCATGAGCAGATACATCAACGTGCTTTTTTCATCAATATATATATGTATTTTTTATTTAATTTTAAATTTAAAAACTTAGTAGTTTTTAAATTTTAATTCCCAGTATATAGTCAACATACAATGTTATATTAGTATAATATAGTGATTCAACAATTCTGTACATTACTTAGTGCTCATCTTGTCATCAGTGTATTTTTTTAAGATTTAATTATTTATTTGAGAGAGAGAGAGTAAGCAAGTGCGTACAGAAGGGAGGGACAGAGGGAGTCTCCAGCTGAACGTGGAGCCCTACGTGGGGTCTCCATCTCAAAATCTGAGTAGTTAAAACCAAGAGTTGGATGCTTAACCAACTGGGCCACGCAAGTGCTCCATCAATATATTTTTTAGCTGTAGCTTGTTTCACCTCCTTCTGGACTGCAACACTGATTTTATGACTAACCCCCAGGGGGGCACCAGGGTGGCTCAGTTGGTTACTCACTGGACTCTTGGTTTTGGCTCAGGTCATGATCTCAGGGTCGTGGGGTCTGGGCTCCGGCTTAGCAGGGGAATTTGCTTCCCTTCTCCCTCTTCCTCTTCCTCTCCCCATGCTTACACTACTTTACGTCTCCATAAAATAAAAATAAATCTTTTTTAAAAAAGACTAATATCATGGAATAGGGTTTTGTTTTTTAAGTAACGTAACAATGTTATAGTGATGTCCCATTTTTATAGACTTATGTGTTCCATACACTTGTGATTCTCCCTTTTTGCCATTAAATAGCTGTACCCTAGACTACGACTACATAAATATTGTTTACTTACTGTATTACACAAGCTACTAAATATTAGTGAACATTATTTACTTTAGTGGCCTCTTTTCTGTTGATTTTGAGCACAATTTATGAAAGTATGTAGTGAGGTCATCTTTTCCATTCAGATTAGACGAGTTTCTGAAACTACACCCAACTGTACTCCATTTTATAGACCACAAGGTTAGAAGCCATGGAAGAGTTTCAAAATTCTTAAATTTATTCATTTATATAATTAAAACAACCCCCCCTCCAAACCTCTTTACTGCTTTGAGAGACACGATACTATAGTGCCACCATGTGGTCTTTTTAATTAGTTTAAAAAACAAGCTGATTTGGGGGAGCTCTTTTGTTTATATAGTACATCAGTTATTTTTTAAAAATCATTCAGTGGGCATTTTTGAACAAAAGAATTTTCTTTCTTTTTTTAAAAAAAAATATTTTATTTATTTATTTATGAGAGACAGAGAGAGGTAGAGACACAGGCAGAGGGAGAAGCAGGCACCATGCGGGGAGCCCCACTTGGAACTCGATCTTGGGTCTCCAGGATCACACCCCGGACTGCAGGAGGCGCCAAACCGCTGTGCCACTGGGGCTGCCCACAAAAGAATTTTCTTCACTGTTTCTACCATTGATGTGCCTGAGTACATCTAACTGATGTACGACAGTACAACAACTGATATACATCAGTACAGCTGAGCCACACAGACTGCCCTGTTAAAAGATGTTTAAATCAAAGATATAACTCCTTGATTTCATCTTATTACATTAATTTTATTAGAAATATTAGAATTCGCAGCCCGGTGGCTCAGCGGTTTAGTGCTGCCTTCAGCCCAGGGCCTGATCCCGGAGACCCGAGAGATCCAGTCCCACGTCAGGCTCCCTGTATGGAGCCTGTTTCTCCCTCTGGCTGTCTCTGCCTCTCGCTCTCTGTTTCTCATGAATGAATAAATAAATAAACTCTTTTATAAAAAAAAGAAAGAAATATAAGAATTCCGTTGCACTGGTGATACATATTTACATATTTCCAATTAATTGACTGTTTGCCTTACCTTTTTGAAAACATCTATGCAGGAGTAGTAAGACACCATTCAGTGGTCATACCTTGAGCTGCGTTTGTAAGCAGTGTTTCTGAGCTGTTCTGGTTCTGTTGACTTTGACTTTCCTCAAAATGGAACTCCTGAAAGCCTGGTAGGGTTCAATTGAAGATGAACAGGTGCTTAATTTTTTTCATTTTGTTTATTTCCCACTGTGTACGACTTCTGCCAGGAACTAATGGAATGTCAGCAGAGTTTTGTTTGGTAAGGGGGAAAATGAGGTTTAGAACAATGAAGTAAATGCCTCTTCCAAATGTGACCTTCAGGTATTTTATGATGTTTCTTATCAATCTTAGAGTTTTTTTGGTCATCTTTGGAGAGTGCATTATGAAATTCCTGACTTGAATATTTTAATGAACTCTTCATGTAATTATTTTTTTTGCAATTTCATATTTTAGGAAGTTGTGTGACAAATCTCAAAGCAGTTTATTAAAATTTAAGAAGAAAGTTCTATCATAAGTAAATCATGGAAAAAAAATAAGTAAATCATGGAAATGCTGCTCTAATATTATTTTTGGTGTCCTAAGTCTCAGTAGTTGTGACAGAACTACCCTGGAAATTAGAGAATTGAAGCAAAGTAGATTGCATGACCGTAAAATTCATGATCAGAATACTATTAGCATTTCCTAAAGCTTAACTTTTATTTATTTATTAAGGTCATATATATATATGAATATATGATGAACTTCATTAAGATGAAATATTTAATGGAGTTCACCCAAGAATAAAGATTTATTAATTGGTAAAAATAAAAAATGTTTTTTCTTTAGATTGTTTTATTCTTTCCAAGCTTACCAAATACTCAACTTTGGTAAATAAGTTCTAACACTAGTATGTAATATTTAAGATACTTCACCCCCCATTTTATATACTTTAAATATTACAGGATTACTTTATAGCAATCTAAATTTTAGAATCATCCTTTTAAATTGTCTTTTTTTTTAATAGAAAAAGTTACGCCGATCACAACATGCCCGAAAGGAAACAGAGTTCTTACGGCTCAAGAGGACCAGACTTGGCTTGGATGACTTTGAGTCTCTGAAAGTTATAGGAAGAGGAGCATTTGGAGAGGTTACTTCTTTTTTAAAGAAACTGCTGTTGAAAATATATAGCTTAAGAAAGCTTAAAATATGTATTCCAATAGTTTAATAGGTATTAAAAGTTTAATGTATCAAAATAGCTTAATTTTAAGAATTTCTAAAATATAAACAAATATGAACAATGGCAAATTGCAACACTGATCTCTTTAAAAGAATTCACCTTTTGCTCCTAAATCAATAGTAGTGACTGTTTAACATTGATAATATGGTAAATTTTTACATTTTAGGTGCGGCTGGTCCAGAAGAAGGATACAGGGCATATCTATGCAATGAAGATATTGAGAAAAGCTGATATGCTTGAAAAAGAGCAGGTATGAGTTCTTTAACACATAAAACCAAAGGATTACCACCGACTAGGTGTTAGAGTAATTATTAATATTGGAATTTGTAAAAAGAAGTCTGCATATCTCACGCCTTATAGCTTATTACTTTTTTGATAGCCTGTTTTATTGTTCCTTAAGTTCTTATAGTTAAAATCTCTTCCAAATTTACAATCTGAAAATGTATTAGCCTGTTCAGGCTGCCATAAAAAAATACCACTGAAAAAAAAAAAGAAAGAAAATACCACCGAGTAGGTGGCTTTAAACCACAGAAATTTATTTTCTCACAGTTCTGGAGGCTAAGTCCAAGATCAGGGTTCTGGCAAGGTTTGATTTCAGGTGAGGTGCTCTTACTGGCTTGCAGATGGCTGCTTTCCCTCCAAACCCCCAGAGAGCATCCTCTTGGTGTGTGCACAGAGAAAGAAGGTGAGCTCTCTGGTGCCTCTTCTTACAAGGACACTATCCCACTCTCCCTCCATGACCTCCTGGAATCTTAATTATTTCCTTAGAGGCCCCATCTCCAAATTCATTCACCCTGGGGGTTAGAGCATCACCATAGGAATTTGATCCATAATAAAATACTTCTTTTCTGACTTCATTGAACATAAAGCATACTTTATATGCTTTATGCATAGTTGATATTATTAGTTTATTATGTTCTGACTTTCTTAATCCCTATCACATTTAAGCAAGACCATTCTCCCAAGAATTTGCTGATTTTACATATTTCCAAAATCTGGAAACCCCTTCTCCCCCAATTTCATACTTCTGGACTCTCTGTTTCCTGTGACTTAATGCAGTATAAGCGTTGGCCATAAATCTGAAAACATTAATAGTATTATACCAATAGTATTAGATCAATAGAATTAGACCAAAGTCCATGTCCTCATTAGACTCCTCCAATTCTTCTTACTTTGATTCCTACTTCCTTCTCCTCAGCTGGACCAGCCTTGGGGAAGGGAGTGGGAGCTGCTGGGGCGGGTCCACCAGCCCCTTCCTTACACATGAGGCTCCTTTTAGTAATTGCCTAAAACTTACTTATTACAGCAGTATAATATTGGTTTTTATTTAAAATGGCCCCCCTTGAATTTTCACTGCATTTTTTCACTTTATTTTTATTTCATGCCTTCAGCAAGCATTTACTGGGTGCCTATGAGGTGCCAAATGTGCCTGTGGTGTTCTAGGGTTAACATAGACCTAGACAGGATTAACAGGACAAACCTGATCCTACTTTTTTCTAATAGTGGGGAAATAGGCAGACAGCTATTTCAAATAGTCATGATTGAAAAGGACTACAAAGGAACTTTTTACAAAAGGATAAATTGATGCAGATGATCTGGGGTTAGGAGGAAGAATTAGATCGGGAAATATTTCTCTAAGGAGGGAATATTTGATGAAAGACTGAGGAAGAATGACAGAGGTCAGATAGAATAAATATTCAGGGAGCAAATGCAGGAGACCTGAGGCAAGAGTAATCCTTGCCTGCTTGGATAAGAGAAAGAAGCTATTGTGGCTAGAATTCAGTGTGAAAAGAGTGGTAGGAGAGGTAGGCAGGGGATCAGATCACTTAGAGCTCTGAAAGCCAAGATAGAGTGTCTGAGTTTTATTCTAAATGCAATGGGAGGACACTCTTGTTTTATAAGGGGAATGGTGGGGCGCCTGGGTGGCTCAGTGGGTTAAGCATCTGCCTTTGGCTCCAGTCATGATCCGGGGTCTTGGGATCCAGCCTGGCATCCCTGCTCAGCAAGGAGTTTGCTTCTCCCTCTCCCTCTGCCCCTCCCTCTGCCTGTGCTTTCTCTCTTGCTCATTCTCAAATAAATAAATACTTGAAAAGGGGAATGGTATGTCTGATTGATGTTTTGTAAAGATGAATCAATCCCTTTGCTTGCTGATAGGGGAAACGAGTTGAAGCAGAGAAGCCAGGGATACCTGGGTGGCTCAGCAGTTGAGTATCTGCCTTTGGCTCAGGGTGTGATCCCGGATTCTCAGATTCTCGGGATTGAGTCCTACATCGGGCTCCCTGCAGGCAGCCTGCTTCTCCTCCCTCTGCCTGTGTCTGCCTCTCTTTCTGTGTCTCTCGTGAATAAATAAGTAAAATCTTTTTAAAAAAAAAAAGAAAAAAAAAAAAACAGAGAAGCCAGTTGAGATACTGTGAACCAATTCCAGCCAGGATGGGATTGTGGTTTATAGCAGAGAAGCTGAAGAAAATTTAGACAGATTAAGTATATGTTTTAGTGGAAGCGCCAGAAGACTTTCCTGTGATATCCTGTTTATTGGAGGACAAGAAGATGGGTGAGGTTAGTGAGGGAAAAATGGGAAAATCAGGATAATACCTAGAGTTTTATTTAGGAATGGGATACATGATAGTGTTATTTTCTAATTTAGAAAGACTGAAAAAAGAGCAGGTTTGGAAATAGTGGGAATAAAAATGTGGCACATTTTTATTCATAATATGCCATAAAAATGTGGCATATTAAGTTTGAGCTGCCTGTTAGATATTCAAGAGGAGATATTAAGTTGAAAGTTGGCTGGAATATGGAGAGAATATGGAGAGAAGTTTGACTAGAAATATAATTTGGAAGCCATCAACATATTGATCATATTTAGAGTAATGGGACAAGATGAAATTGTCTAGAAAACAAATATAGATAAAGAAGGAAAGAGGGCTTGGATCCAAGCCCTAGGGAACAATAGGCAGAAGAGAAACCAGCAAAGGGGACCAAGAGAGAACATCTAATCAGGTAGGGGAAACTGGGAGAACATGGTGTTATGGAAGCCAAGAGAAGAAAGTTTATGAAGGAGGAAGTGAGGGTCAACTTTGTGGAATGCTGCTAAGAGAGTACAAGAGGAAAACAGGCCAGTGGATGTCACAATATGGAGATTTTTAACCACTTGATGAGGACATTTCCAGTGGACTGCAGGGCAGAAGCTTAACTGAAATGGTGAGAAAGAAAATGGGAAATAAGAAGTGGGGAATGTGAGTACAGATAAAGCTTTCATGTTCTGCTTTATGAAGCAGAACAAAGAACAGATTTGTAAAGTGAGACTTAGGGTAAAAAGGATTTTTTTTTCTTTTTTTAAAGACGGGAAATGTTTTGATGTTGATTGGAAGAATCCAAAAGTTGAAGATGCAAGAAAGTGAGGGCAGGTAACTATAGGAATACAGTGGAAGACAGAAGAGTTGATCTTTGATAGGAGTGGATACATACCTATCCATTAAAACAGGAAGAAGAGGCAGAGAAAATGGGACCAAATGCAGGGTGGTTGATCTGGCAGTGTCAGGTGCCAGGTTTCCCCCTGAGCGCAAATAAGCGAGGTCGTCATCTCAGAGCAGAGGAGAGGCAGGTAGCTTGCTGGAGATGTAAGGAGAGATAATTTGTGAAATAGTCCCAACTGTTGACTCGAAGGGTGGGAAAGCAGACTTGCTAGGGAAATACAGTTGCATGCCCATCGAGATTTATTATCATGAATGTAAAGTGAAACCAGTTGGCATGGTTGGGTGACCTTTCTGTAGTAATCCTTAGTTGCTCTGGGTAGATACAGAATAGACAGAAATTGGAGTCTAGTTAGGGTTAGTGGTTTATCAGGCAAATACAATGGAGGCAGAGGACAAGGGAGGTCAGAGTGTTTGCAAAACAATGATCATAGTGTTGAATCTAGGCTGAGTAGAAAAAGAAACGAGGTTGTAAAGAAATTAACAGAAAAAGTTGTTGAATCCAGGGGAGAGAGATTAAAGTATAAGAATAAGAGATCTGGAATGATAAAAGGTGGAGATCGGAAATAGAGTTGATTAAAATTGAGATTTTAGAGGGGGTACAGTTATTGGTGATGAGAAGGACAAGAAGGGGGTCAAAGTGCAGTGGTGGAAGAGATCATTGCAGATGAGGACGTCAGTAGGTAGGGTGTTTGATAGTTCATCCTTTTGGATATTGAAATCTATCCACAAGTGGAAAAGCGGGAAAGGAAGTTGGTAAGCCATGAGATGAAATCATGAATGAGTGAGAGGGATTGACCAGGAGCTCTGTTTTTGATAGCTTTGAGGTTAGATGGTGGCTGAAGGAGTTCCACAGTGTGCACTTCAAAGGAGCTGCAGTGAAGGAAAGTGTCACAGGGGTTCAGAAGCAGCATGAGAATGAGCACAACCCTACCCCCATCACCAAGTAAGGTGTGAGAGAAAAGCAGGTCATTCTTGAGAACTCACTATTCAGGAACACAGAACTGTCAGTAGACAGCCTGGTTTCAGTTAGGATGACAAGGTGAAGGAACCATCCAGAGGTGACAGGATATTGGACTTTTTTTGAAAACAGACTGATTCCAGAGGAAAGATATTTGGAACTCAAAGAAGGTCAAGGTTTTGAATTGTATTAGAGAATTACAGATAATAATAAGAATAAAGATCTGGGTCAAGATATAGAGCCTCTGAGACAAAGAGATAAATAGGATCTAACTAAGCCATATGGGATTAGTCCTGGAGAGGGTTTTGGAGGAAGGACAAAAGGAGCAGTTAGTTCCAGCTATAGTCTTTAGTTACTAGCCACCTGTAGCTAACCTGAATTTAGATATTCTATAAATAGCAAATATATACCAAATTTTGAAGACTTTGTGCCAAAATAATAATTTTTATATTGATTACGTACTGAAATGGTAACATTGTGGATACATGGAGTTGTATGAACTATATTTAGTTTCAAATATTTCACCTTTTTCTTTTTACTCGTTATATGATTACTAGAAAGTTTTAAATTGTGTATGTGGCTTTCACATACTGTATTTCTGTTGGACAGCACTGATCTAGAATATTTTGCTAGAAGTTGAAGAGCTTCTGAGCACTGTTTGTTCTTATGCAGGGAAAATCTCACTGGAGCCCAAACGTCAAGTCTATTTGCATTTTGTTATTGTTTTTTCACTCAGTTCTAATACATCATTATGTTAAGTTTATATTATATCTACTTTAATACCAACCAATCCACAAAGTAGCAGGTTATCTCTCTGCTACTGTGGTACTAGGTTACCATGTATGATAACTTCCTATTCTTTGAAAACAGAGGCCCATTTTGAAAACATCCTGTAATCTGACTTCAAGATATTTAAAAACAATTAAGCCAAGTTTATGACGTTTTTCCTGACAGCAGCCCATGCAGCATCAAAGGTTTAAGATTTTTCCTTTACTAATTTTAAAATGCCTTGTAAAAGGCAACAGGTATGAATTTTGATGCCATTTTTCACTTTGTGAAACAGATCCAGAGAGATCATAAGGTTTTTCATGTGAGAAAACAAGTTCTTAGTTTTCAATTGTTTTTCCTGTGCTTTGATCTCAGAGCACTTATTGTACCAGGTAATAAATACAGTAATCCCATTTATGACATTTTAAGCAGATCATATTTCATTACCATGAAAAGGCTTAGGAAATCTGGGTCCTCACAGTGCTTTGGGCTAGAGTTCTAAAAATGCACAATGATAATAGCAAAAGGATAAAATCAAATATTGTTAATCTTTGAAGAAAGAATATATAGATATATTAATGCAAAAGCATCTGAAAATTGATTATACCGACCTGACAAATTACTCAGTTTATAAAATTTTCCAGTCTATAGAATACTCACATGAAAGTATCCCTAGTAATTGTGTGTCTGGCAAATCAGCAGCAAAATCTCCCAAAGTAACACTAATTTGCTATAGATCAGGTTTATGGATATCATAGAGGCTTTGTATTTAACAAATACAATAAAGTTATTACAGACCAAATAATACAGAGTTACTGTAAACATTTCTACTTGTTTAAAAAAATCCAAATGTTTAAAGATCACATGAGGCTTTTTTTGAACTAATAGCAGTTAAAAATAGTTTGCTAAGGACCCTGACTTTGTCAGACCAACTTATAAGGCATTGCTTACTACTTTTAACTTTCAAAAGTCAGGCCAGGGGCGCCTGGGTGGCTCAGTTGGTTAATTGTCCACCTCTTGGTCTTGGCTCAGGTCATGGTCTCAGAGTTGTGAGATCAGGCCTGCGTCAGACCCTGCGCTCAGCACAGAATCTGCTTGAGATTCTTTTCCCCCCTCTTCCCTGCTTCTCTCTCTACTCCCTGTCTCTCTTTCTCTTTCTTTCCCTCTCTCTCTCTCAAAGTAATATGCCTTAAAAAAAAAATCAGACTAGTGGAGCCTGAAATTTATATGACAAAGCCAGGATCCTTGGCAAATAAGGATTCTGGTTGCAAGGTTTTGTTTTTGTTTTTGTTTTTGTTTAAGATTTTATTTTTATTTATTCAGGAGAGACACAGAGAGAGGCAGAGACATAGGCAGATGGAGAAGCAGGCTCCCTGTGGGGAGCTCGATGCAAGACTCTATCCCAGGGCTCTGGGATCACACCCTGTGCCAAAGGCAGATGCTCAGTCGCTGAGCACCCAGGCGTCCCTGTTGGAAGATTTTTGGACTAATCATTTTTCTCGGAGGCCTCGGCTTTTTGTAATGTATCTGTGGATCCCCCTCTTCCTAGGCCTAAAGATAAAAGCTAAAATAAACGATTTCCTGAGGTTCTCTGTATGTAATGAGAATATGAACATGCATATATATTTCAAATCTTTTCTAAAACTCCCCCTTCCTTCCTGACTATTAAGGAACTAGATGGATAACTGTAAGAGATAAACTTGAAAAATGTGTAACATGTTGCAATTCTTTTTTCAAAATACATTCATCTAGGTGGCCCATATCCGAGCAGAAAGAGATATTTTGGTTGAAGCAGATGGTGCCTGGGTGGTGAAAATGTTTTACAGTTTTCAAGATAAGAGAAATCTTTATCTGATCATGGAATTTCTCCCTGGAGGTAAAAAACATAATAGCAATGACAGCCTGACACAAGCACACCTTTATATGTAATTATTATCCTGTTGACTAGGTTTACTCTTCTGTTCCTAGCAGTCATGGTTCTCAAGTTGTTCCTCCTGTAATAATGCTAATTTTTACCACAAAGCAAATTATATTGAAAGAATAATAAATTTGGTACATTTTAAATATCACCAGTCTGCATTTACATTATATATTTAGTTAGATTGTTGTAAGTCTAGAGTTAAGAACAATAAGTCACTAAAGAGAAAGACAACCCAATGGGCCAATGATAGACAATATGGCTAGTCTATAAATACACAGGAAAATGTTCAACTCTGCTCATATTCAGGGGAATGCAAATTAAAACGAGAATGAGATACCATTTCACACTTATCCAATTAGTAAGAACATTAAGAGTCTGATGAGGCTGTGGGAGAAACTGGCCTCTCTGGTATCTAAATTAATCTCTAACTCTTAACAAAGAGCAATTCTTAGATACCACTGAAATTGAAAGTGCATGCGTCCTACAGCCCAGCAATTTTACAACCAGTGTATTCCCTGGAGATTCTCCTGGAAGAGACCACTGAAAGCATTGTTGTGATAGTGAAAAACTGCATGCAAGATAAATTGTCCATCAGTAGAATGGATAAGTAAAATGTGACATAGTTATGTGCTGAAATATTTTTCAGCAGTTAAAAGTCAGGAGCTATATCCATTTCAGTGAGATCTCAGAAACAGTGGAGGAATAAAGCAAGCTGTGGAATTAAATGTGCAATTGATACCATTTATGTAATTTAAAAAAATATATAAAAGACTATAATTTCATAGATTAATATGTATGTATATGAAAACATTTTAAAAAATAAGCTATAAGATGCCCACCAAACCAAATCTATGATAATGGTTACTTAGCAAAAAAAGGGAAAAGGGAATAAAACGGAATAGATGACAAAGAACGCTTCTACATTTTTTTTAAGACTCGAAGTATCATAAAAAATGTTAACAAGTGTCATTTCTGAGTTGTAAGTTGACCATTGCTTATTCTTTGCCCCCTTTTAAGAAAAAAATTCCTTGAAAATAAAAGAATGTCTTTTAGTGGGATGATATTCTGTTTTTGATGGACTGAAGGCTCTGAACATTTTTGAAACAATACATCCCATTTCCAGGTGTGCTTATCCTGATTCATGTTTGCAGTTCATCATATTTTCCTCAGCAACTTATTCTGTATATTGAGTAGTGGATATTACTTCATTAATTATCTCTGCTCTAATTTCACCTGCTTCCTACTTTAAAAATCATTAAATGTCATGAAACTTTGGTAATGCAATGACATTTTTTTTACTTGGCCCTAGAGACAGTTGGGTGGGTCGTACAATGCAAAAATCAGAAGAGGTTCTACAGATACAGAGGAAGCTTGAGGTGTTTCTAATACATGATATTTTCCTTTATGTAGGTGACATGATGACATTGTTAATGAAGAAAGATACCTTGACAGAAGAGGAGACACAATTCTACATTTCAGAGACTGTTCTGGCAATAGATGCAATCCACCAGTTGGGTTTCATCCATCGGGATATTAAACCAGACAACCTTTTATTGGATGCCAAGGTATGTGAATAAACTGGTGACTTATTGGGTTGCTGATTATTTTATGGAGTAATAGAGCTGATTTTGTGATTGAATGAGCAACTACAATTTATATTATTGCTCAACTAGGTGATATCATAGAATGATACAATGGGAGAAGACTTGGGAGTGAAATAACATCAAGGGAGGATGGCTGTCTTTATCTTCTTTCATTTTCTACTTTTAAAAATCATCATCATTGGGCACCTGGGTGGCTCAGCTGATTAAGTTGTCTGCCTTCAGCTCGGGTCATGATCCCAGGGTCCTGGGGTAGAGTCCCATGTTGGGCTACCCTCTCCCTGTTCCTGCTCTCTCTCTCTCAAATAAATAAATAAAATCCTTAAAAAAAAATAAATGCAATCATTATAAAAATTCTTACATTATAAGAATTCCTATAGGGTGATATGTAAAATTATAAATATTGATGATGATGATTTTCTTTATTAAAGATTTTTTATTTGAGAGAGAGTGAGAGAGAGCATGAGCAGGGGGAGGGGCAGAGAGAGAGAGGGAGAGGCAGACTCCCCACTGAGCAGGGGCCAGAACCCTGGGATCATGCCCTGAGCCAAAGGCAGAGAGGCTTAACCAGCTGAGCCACCCAGGTGCCCATAATGATTGTATTTACAAAAATAATTTATAATAAGCCTTTTGTTTCAAAGTTAATATAATCTCTTGATTTTACTGGATTTTTTTTTAGGGTCATGTAAAATTATCTGATTTTGGTTTATGCACGGGATTAAAGAAAGCTCATAGGACTGAATTCTACAGAAACCTTACACACAACCCTCCAAGTGACTTCTGTAAGTTTGATTTTTTTTTTCTTTCTGGGTAACGTAGCGTAGCTGGCTTAATTCGTTGTTGTTGAGCACTAAAAGTTCTCTTGCTCTACTCACTCCTTAAGCCAATGTATTTTACATGTATATTTGTGAATTTGTCTTTTGGCGGAGTTTCTCCCTCATGATTATGATTCTCTCTTGTTGAAATTAGCATTTCAGAACATGAACTCAAAGAGGAAAGCAGAAACATGGAAGAAGAATAGGAGACAGCTGGTAAGTTTGCTGTGTCTTTAAGAAAGTTTGCCCTAGGCCAAACATTTCATTGGGGATTTGCTTGATCATTTTGCATCTTCACAATGATTAGTACTTACTTTGTAGCAATGATAGAGCTTCTTTTGGGATCACATAGTTCTCTTAGTTTCCCTGTAACATTTCCTTACCTATAAAGTGAGTGCTGATTTTTTATGATTTAACAATAGAGTATTTTATGGCTCATACCTATAATTAAGTAATCTGTTTACTAGTAATTAGTACTTAATATAAAATTCACTGAGGTGAGTGTGATTGTAGTGAATGCCTTGTGTGTTCCATTTTACATACTTGTTCTGAAACAACAAATGCCAATCAGCATAAGTAAGGTGGTTGTGTGTTTCTAAGAATTTCTTTATAAAGTAAATAGGAAGTTTGGCATGTTAACAGATAAACCAAATAAAATTAGAAAGCCAACTGTACCACAGATAAACTTAATTACTCTTAATTACTACTTTTACCTCCACAGTCTTTCTCCTTTATTACTTCGCAAATAGAACTGTTTGCTTCTTTTCCACTTCCCTTTATCCTGTTAACTAGGTCCATGCACATTATCAGAGTCAGGAATGTGCCTTTTGACTTTGTTTTCCTGAACTCTTGTTCTGTCTGGCACATATAGACACTTCATAAATATTTGTTAAATTCAACCAAGAGATGAAAGGGAAACTAAGTCAGCATTCCCTCCGAGTATTGGGTCAGGTAAACAGACTGAAAGATAATAGTCTGATACCCTCTCAAACCAAATAAAATGGCCTTTTCATGGTTGAACTCATTCTGTCATTGGCCCGAGTAATTAACTACAAGTTTCCTGTGCTTGTAAAAACATTTCAGTGTTTAAAAGCTTTTTAAATGTTTTAAAACTATGGAGCTATGAATTAATGACAGAAACTTCCTTCTACTTTTCAATATGCCACTTTCAGATCACATATTACAACTGAGAGAAGGACTGCAGTATTTCCTACTTTTATGGGGAAAGATGAATAGTGCTTAAAAAATGTAGAAGGGAATTCTACTTACAGAGTATTCACAGGTGGTTACTTTGGTGCATGTTTTACTGTTCTCGTGGCCATCCTCATGACTTCTATCAATGTTTATTTCCCAAGAGAGATGTAGAGGGGACTCTTAGTATTTTGGGCAGGAGCTCCTTTAGATCTTAAATCCCTCCTGCCAACTAAATGCCAATCAGCAACCCCCAACCTCCACCCCGCAGGTCCTTGAAATAACAGAATCTGCTGGCACACATTTTCAAATGGTCCCTAGCATGCTGCCCTTAATTGAGAACTACTGCCTTAAAGAAATTATTTTGGGGGGATCCCTGGGTGGCGCAGCGGTTTGGCGCCTGCCTTTGGCCCAGGGCGCGATCCTGGAGACCCGGGATCGAATCCCACGTCGGGCTCCTGGTCATGGAGCCTGCTTCTCCCTCTGCCTGTGTCTCTGCCTCTCTCTCTCTCTCTCTCTCTCTCTCTCTGTGTGTGACTATCATAAATAAATAAAAATTTAAAAAAATTATTTTTGTAAGATTTTGTGTGAATTAAGAATGAAAAATTCCATTGCTTCCTAATGGATAAGCAGTGCCCTGAAACTAGGTGTATAATGAAAATACCTGATGTTTATATGTATAGTAAGTTGTAGTTTAGAAAGCAGAATTCTTTTCTTATTTCACCCTCCTATCAACTATGTTAGGACTGTGTTATTACTCCAGTTTTCTGTAAGCAGAAGCTGAGGCTCAGACAGGTTGAATAACTTACCTGAGAACACATTAGTTAGGGAGTAGAGAACTCAGGCCCACTGGGGTCAACCTCTTTATTCTTTTTTAATGGATTGTTAACCTTACCAATAAAACGATTATTTTACCAGCAAAAGTGGGTTTATTCAGGAATAACAGAAAATTGCAGTTCAAGAATGCAAGCTATGGCAAAACCATTGGCAAATCCAACAAAGAAGAGAAATGGTATTTTAAGGGAAGAAGGAGGATTTGGAAGGGGATGTTTTGAACAAGAATCCATTGGAGAAAAGCTGGAGTTCAGTGTGGTGAAGGTCTCTCCTTGGCTGATTTGCAGGGGTAGTTAATTTTTCATAGGTGATGCAGTGTATGTCTTTCCTTGTTGGGGCCAATAATTGATGATTCTTCCAACAGGGTCTATAGTTGACAGTCCCTGCTGTAATTACAGCAAGTAGTATAGTAGTATAGCTCCCCCTTCTAGCATCCCGAGTCCACTTTAGTGAGCTTTCCCTTTATTAATTTTCATAGGACTTAGGGCTAAATATATAAATAATTTGAGTTTTTTTGGGGGGTCAGATATCATATCTAAAATAACATTATCTGACCCAGTATATATCACTAAGCTTCCTATGTGATAAAGTATTAAATGAGTAATTAGCTGCTATTATTTATATATAACATATATATAAGTATTATATACTTATGTAAGTATATATAAGTATTATATATATGTTATATATATTTATATATATAAATATATATATATAATTTAGTGGTGAGCCATTCTCAGATCTTTCAACAAATATTTAAGAATGCTGGTTTGATGGGATCCCTGGGTGGCGCAGCGGTTTAGCGCTTGCCTTTGGCCCAGGGTGCGGTCCTGGAGACCCGGGATCGAATCCCACATCAGGCTCCCGGTGCATGGAGCCTGCCTCTCCCTCTGCCCGTGTCTCTGCCTCTGTGTGTGTGTGTGTGTGTGTGTGTGTGTGTGTGTGTGTGACTATCATAAATAAATAAAAATTTTAAAAAAATTTAAAAAAAAAAGAAACAAAATTAAAAAAAAAAAAAGAATGCTGGTTTGATAAGTTTTTCCTTTGCAGGCATATTCTACAGTTGGGACACCAGATTATATTGCTCCAGAAGTATTCATGCAGACTGGTTACAATAAATTGTGTGACTGGTGGTCTTTGGGAGTGATTATGTATGAAATGCTAATAGGTATGTTTTATCATTTGTTTATGTACATACTGTATGAATTTCCATGAGTGCCACTGATTGAATGAACATACTGCAGATACCACGGGTTAAAATGACCAAACTCTTTGACATATCCCAATGTTAAATACACAATAATAAATACCAGCAAACTCTGTAGGGATTCAGGAAGAGATTATTTAACCAAAACTCCTATGTGTCAAAATTGTATCAGCATGGCCTTTCAGATAAAGGGGGCAGTGCTTTGAATTCTTTATTTTGTTGCTTTTATTAGCAATTTTATTATAAATTGATGAATGGTGATATTTTTATTGTTGATTAGAGCACTTAGGGCTATTTTGTTCTTTGTGGCACATACATAGTAGATACAGCATATTTAATTATTAAAACTTTTATTTTCTCTGATATGTAGGGTATCCGCCTTTCTGCTCTGAAACTCCTCAAGAAACATATAGAAAAGTGATGAACTGGAAAGAAACTTTGGTATTTCCCCCAGAGGTACCCATATCTGAGAAAGCCAAGGACTTGATTCTAAGGTTAGTGGTTAAATCCCTAGAGGAGTTTATGGTATTTTAAAACTTCCCAGGTGGGATGCCTGGGTGGCTCAGTGGTTGAGCATCTGCTTTAGGCTCAGGTCGTGATCCCAGGGTCCCAGGATCGAGTCCCACATCGGGCTCCCCACAGGGAGCCTGCTTCTCCCTCTGCCTGTGTCTCTGCCTCTGTGTGTCTCTCATGAATAAATAAATAAAATCTTTAAAAATAATAAATAAATAAATAAATCAGTCTATCAAACAAACTCCCCAGGTATCTAAAAGATCATACTGCTCCTTTTATTCTTGTGGGAGGAAAAGGACCACCACTGATCTATACAAAGAGATCAATAAAGAAAATGTGTTTTTTAAAATCTGCAAACAATTAAAAGGTAGTAGGCAACAAAAAAAGTAAGAGTTAAGAAGAGGACAGATGTATTGTTTCAAAGGTCACTCCTGTTGGAATGCAATCACCCTATTTCCTTAAAGAGAAAAGGGAAAATAAATTCATATCACAAGTCTATATATGAAATTGTTTCTAGGCAAAGGATTCCATTCTGTTTCTCAAATAAGATAGTGTGTGGTATTGTTGGAAATGGCTGCAAGGAATATAAATTGGGAAACCTATGAGAACAGCTAATTGACGGCATATTATCAAATATCTTTAAACTCTTTATGACCTTTGACCCAGTAATTCTAGGAATTTTGTTTATGCAGATAATTAGATGTGTGTAAAGATTTAGGAAGAATATCTTTTTTTCTTTTTTTTTTTTTTTTATTTATGATAGTCACACAGAGAGAGAGAGAGAGAGGCAGAGACACAGGCAGAGGGAGAAGCAGGCTCTATGCACCGGGAGCCCGACGTGGGATTCGATCCCGTGTCTCCAGGATTGCGCCCTGGGCCAAAGGCAGGCGCCAAACTGCTGCGCCACCCAGGGATCCCTAGGAAGAATATCTTTATCATGATGTGCTTTTAGTAATGAAAAATTGAAAACCATCTAAATGTTCAACAGGAGTGGACTGACTAAATAAACTATAATATTTCCACATGCAAATTGTAGGAAATGAAGTTCTAGAAGAACATTTAATGAATTTGGGAAGTTTTCTCAGTATATTAAATGAAAAAATTCACCCGTATTTCAAAAATTATAATAAAAGACTAAAAGGAAATGGCTTCAAAATGTTTACAATAGTTGTCTCTGTACAGTGCAGTTACAGAGGATTTCTGTTCTTTCCCATATTTCCCACAATAAACAGAGTGACTTCAGTAAACAGAGAAGAAAAATGAAATGTTTGAAAAAAATGCAAATAGAGTACTTTAGATGTAATTTTCATATGATCATTTATCTGTTTCCATTTTCTAGATTTTGTATTGATTCTGAAAACAGAATTGGAAATAGCGGAGTAGAAGAAATAAAAAGTCATCCTTTTTTTGAAGGTGTAGACTGGGGACACATCAGGTATGCTTATGGGCTTCGAAATTGGAGAGGTCTGAGTGAAAATTTTTTTTTTCTTTTTAACTAGCAATCAATTTTTCTCTGATTCTGCTGGATTAAATACAAGAAGTAACACTGTTATAGTTTTATTAAATCAGTGTTTTCTGGATTATATGAGAGAGACTATAGTGGCTGTAGCTTAATGACTTGTTTTAGCTAATGTCCACTTTAAGGGGGAAACCACATTCTGTGCACCTGTTTTGATTTTATATTCAGAGTTTCGTGATGCAGGCTGATGTTAGCACAACAGAGATGTATTTCTATTTCATACTATAACCCATCATTTTTGTACTATTATATCATACTGTATACTATATCTCCCTCTAATATATCATCTACTTTATGAAGTTGTAAGAAGATACAATCCCTTTTTTTCAGCATTGTGGGAAAAGTGAAAATGATGCAAGTCACTTTTAAGAATTTGCTTATGGTTTGTTGTAAGTGTTGGCCTTTATTCAGTTTGTGGCCAAACTACCTTCAATAGTTCTGGGCTGTTCTCTACACAGTGATAGTTTAGAAAGATAAAATTGATCATGCTGTTTTCTTCCTTCCCTTTGCACTTAGAGTAAAAATAAGGAAGCTTAACTGCTTTCAGGACTGTGGGGTATGGCTCTTCCCTCATCTGTACCACTGGCATCTTTTATGGTCTCTTCCAACTCCTTCCACCTCAGGGCTTTGTCATTTTTTCTTCCTTCTGACTGAAATGCTCTTCTCTTTCTGCTCATTCCTGTCTCTACTGCCCTGCGTGGCCAGCTCTTGTTCATCTTTCAGGACAGCATATATGTCACTTCCTCCATGCAGATCTTCACTGGAACTCCTACTGTGTGCCAGGCACTCTCCCTGTTGTAATAATAACTAATTTTTTTGACCACTTATTATATGCCCAGCACTGTTCTAAGTACTTTATGCATGTTTGTTATTTTACCCTCATAATAAACCTTATAAAATAGGTACTATTATTATATCTGTTTTACAAATGAGGAAACTAAAGCACAGAGAAGTAATTTGCCTACAGTGTCACAGCTAGTAAATAATCTAGCTAGAAATTTCTAACTAAAATTGGACCCCTAGGTGTCCTGGTTCTTAACTGCTATGCTGCATTATACTGTACCTACCTCATCTCATTGAACAGAATGATGATTCCCCTTTTTTACAGGTGGAAGGATGCTTAGAGACTATTAGTGCAATCTCTTGCTTTGATAGTAAAGAAATTAGTCGCAGAGCAGGGACTTGCCTGCCTAAGGTTATGCTGCTAGATAATGACAAGAGATTGGATCTTAGGATACCAGGGTGTGTGGTTCTTTTCACTAAACTAATATAAATTTATTAAGTTTCACATTAAGTATCACATTAAATAATGTTTATCACATTAAGTATAAATAATTTGGAATAATTCTGGGAAAAATACCCAGGCTTTTAGATAACAAGCTTTGTTAATTTGTCACCTAATACATCCAGTTAAGTATGTGTTGAAAAAAATGGAAGGAATAAAAATGGATAACTTCTTTTAACTAGTTCTATTTTTTAACATTTCTAGCATGATAAGGTATTTTCATGACTGATTTTTCCTAATGTCCCTGATCCCCTTAAAATTTAAATGACAAGGTTTTGGATTTAGATTTTATCACAAATGTGTAATGATAACTTCATCCTTTGAGCCCCTTAATTTCCCAAAGGGCTTTTTTTTTTTAAGTATCTTTTTTTTTTTTAAGTAATATCTATACTCAATGTGGAGCTTGAACTCGTGACCCTGAGACCAACAGTCATATGCTATACAATTTAAGCCAGACAGATGCTCCCCACTAATGACTTTTAATTTGCAAATCCTCTTATCCCTAGGATCCAGTGCCCACAATATCCAGCATGCGTTATATAATTATAAAATTGTTTAAACAAAATTTCTTCTGTTCTACTTTCCCTTTCATTAACTCTTATTTTTCCACTTTAAACAAAACAGAATGAGAAAGTCTAGGTGCAGAGAAATAAAAATTCCAAGCAAATGGTAATGTTTTAGTAAAATATTTTACTCAACTATGACATCCACTTAAGTGTTGTCAAGTCCACAATAAAATTTCCTTGGCTCTTCTTAATATCTATAGAACAACAAGCAGAATTTGCAAGTAGAATTATTTTTGAGTTCAAGAAAAATTAAGAGTTCAAGAAAAATTAAGAGTTCAAGAAATATACCATGCCACTACTCAATACTTTTTTTATAGGGAAAGGCCAGCAGCGATCCCTATAGAAATCAAAAGCATTGATGATACTTCAAATTTCGATGACTTTCCCGAATCTGATATTTTACAACCAGGTAAGATACTCTGTAACACGATTAACACAATGCATAGTCTGTGAAGATGTTGACATGTTCTCTACTGAAATTCCTTTGCTCTTGGTTCATTTTTCTATCTTTCTAGTGCCAAACACCACAGAACCTGACTACAAATCCAAAGACTGGGTTTTTCTCAATTATACCTATAAAAGGTTTGAAGGGTTGACTCAACGTGGCTCTATCCCCACCTACATGAAAGCTGGAAAATTATGAATAAAGATCACATTCGTCCACAACCAAGAGAACTCAGGTAGCTGCATCACCAGGCTTGCTTGGCGTAGATAACAATACACTGAAATACTCCTGAAGATGGTGGTGCTTATGACTACAAGAGGAAATTCTACAGGATTAGGATTTCTAAGACTACTACAGGAATTGGTTGGCAGTGCCAGCTGGCTTTTTTTTTTAATATTTTATTATTTTTGTTAACTTTATTATACGAAGGTACTGGAATAAAAGAAACGTACATCCCTTTGTAACTGCACTGCCTACATGCGTATTAAGGTCCATTCTGCCTGTGTGTGCTGTGGCTTTGTACTGTAACACCTCTAATCAATTCAGGAGAAACATATCATTTAAAGCAACATAGGCTAACCTATAGGTAACACTGCAGTATTGCTGTTTACTGCAAATCTTATGGGTCTAGATAATCAAAAAAAGCCATCTTCCATAGTTGGTGTTAGAGTATTTGCCCTATTGGTTTGGACACCTATAGAATGAATAGATATGAAGACAATTTCTGTACTGGTTTTAAGAAATTTAAAAAAAAATACACTGGTTATTTAAGAAATAGAATTTATCATCATGTTATTTCACAAACTGCACAGTTGGGAGTGACAAGTTTATAATAAGGAGGAAGCTTAACACCTTCTTCACTCGAGCACTCCACTAAAATATTTACTTTGCATTCAGAAATACTGATGACCTTTATATAGGTAGTCTGTACACTCATAGGGAGATGTACTGTATCATATAAAATGTAAAGTTGCTTTTCTTGTGACAAAAGGACTTCTTTTTTAACAAGAGGACATGGCATTATTTTGATTTGATTATGGTGAGTTGAATTTCAGAAATGACCGTGAAGGCTGCTTGTAGAACTGGTGTATTTTTATTAAACTATTTTTTTAAATGTCAATCTTCTGATCATGTAAATGGACTTGTAGAGAACAAAGAGGTATTTACTTTGGTTTTTCTAGAAAGTTGTTACATATCATGGATGGTTACATTTTATTTCTTTTGGTGAAAATGTTTCCTTTGATAGCACTTGTATTATTGTGCCATTATTTTCTTACACTCCAGACGTACCAAAGATCCTGAACAGAGTGGATGTTCACAACTGAGTAGAATTTTCCTTTCCTGTGAAAATGCCATAGTCAGGCACGACAGATCTTTGACAGAGGTCAGCTTATTGAAGGGCAACATCGTTCATGTTCAGCTCCATCACTGTGGTTAATGGAGGTGGAATTAAGGAAATAAATGCGGGCCAGGAGCAGGGGGTTGGGAGGGGAGGTTGTGATGAGGATGGGGAAATGATGTCAGCATCAAATTCTTTAGCTGTTGCCTGAAGAATGAAGTCATCTTTTCTAACTCAACACTTTAATTCTAAAATGACTCTGAGGTTTTGGTTTCATAAGTACTAGTTAAGGAACAATACTTTATCAAATAATGGCCTAATGTTTGTCTTAACTGTTAATTGATGAAGAGTGTTTTAAAGATACAACAGTTACAACCATAATCTATGATCAAAATCAAAAGCAGTGATTTATTTGTAGCTATGGGGGAAGAACTGCATAGGATCATTGTGCAAATCTACAGAAGCTTTTATAAATGTTGCTGCTAGGTAGCTCCACAATGTTTCTACAAGGCCATCCTGGTTTGTTTGTTTTTCTCCCCCTGTTCTCTCTCTTTCCCTCTTCCTTCCATTCTTTCTTTCTAGTATTTGTTTGATATTTATTATGTGTTCATCCAATAGTTCATCTCCATTTCTCTTATTTGGATCATGTGGCAGAGAATCTAGAGGGGAGAGAGAACTATTAAAATTCTAGAGGTCTCAATTTGACCAGCCCTGGTTCTTCTAAGTATAACTCACTCTAATTTAAAAAAAATATGTTACTGCTGCTCAGTTTTATGAGATTTTTTTCACCCCACTCCATCCCCTCTTTAAAAAAAGAAAAAAAAAAAAAGAAAGGACTGACTTTTGTTAGTGTGACAGTGAATGATTAGGATAGGAGGAAATTACATCATTTTCTAGTTGAGATATGGTAACTATTCTAGTATAGAACAATGTTGTTAATTCAAGTTGACAGAGAGAGAAAGAGGGGGGTGCAGTTACCTATGTTTACTTTTAAATTGATTAAGAGGAGAGCATATTGGTATATTGGTTTCCATCTCCCTTATTTTTATTAGCGGGAAGAACTTGGAAATGGTTAGGATTTCTTGGCACTGGAAGGGCAGTTCTGGAAAGTTTACTTTGTTTAGTGTCTTACTTTTCCCTGGAGTTAACAGAGTGATTCACAATCTTTGGGGTTTCCTCCTCATCACAAGCATTTCTTAAGTGCCTATCTAAAAGTAACAGAAGACTGTGTCTGTCCTTTGGAAGCTAAGAATTTGATTCATTATGCAAATTAGCTAGATAATTTGCAAAGCACCCTTGTGATTGAATTTTCTCTATTACACACTTACATATTTCAGGTGAACCATATAATTTAAATGACAAAACCCTATCTAATCAACTGGGCATAATGACATTTTCTTTAAATTAGACTCTATTTTGAATTAAAAGAGTTTTATTATAAACTGTGTGTTTTGGTTTTTCTAAGTATATAGAAAGCTTGTATAATTCAGATTATTGATTTCCTGAATTAATGTAGACTTTGACTTTTTTATTAAAAAACCTTTGTATTAAAGCAAGTTATGTTATTTTTCTTTTATGCTTTTCTTATTAACCTAGTTTAAATCTTTAAATTTATTGCAGCATAATGCTATCTAAAAACAAAGAATTTCTTATAAATTAATCTTTTCTGAATGCAATATATGGCTGATTTAATAAGCTATAGGTGAATGGAAAATAACATGTGGAATACCTAAAACTTTCTTTGGTTGCTACGGTTTAAGATAGGGTTTCATTTATTTCTATATTAGCATACTACTTCTGTTTTTAAAACATCTGTGTGTCTTTATGCAAATCTGTAAGTTTAAAAAATATTTTTAATTCATTTATTTTTGATGTTTTATTGTAGACAACCTTCAGACAATCAAACAATACTCCTGGTGGAAGAACCAGCTATCCATTTTTTGATGATCTATAAATTACTGAGTTGAGATTTTAATCAGTAGAAAGGTCCCCTAGTAACTAAACACATTCTCTCTGAGTTGTTAAGGTTCAGAACATTCAGAGCAACTGTTTTTGCTATAACCATGACTGTTTCTGCTTGTCTTTATTTAATATTTATTTTCTCCTTAGAAGTGCACTTATTTCTGAAAAGTTTTAATGAAACACTTAGAACAAACAAATACGAAACACTTGGGACTACTAGATATATTTTAGATTTTTATGAAAAAATGTGAGGGCATATTGCTACTTTAAGAAGAAATGAAGTAATAAAAATAGTTCTTAGTTATTTTTTAAAAAGCAATATAAATTATTCAGCAGTTGTCTAGAAAAATGATCATTGGGCTGTCAAGTTCTGTGTTTAGTTACTGAGTTTCAAAAAATGTTCTGGTGGCATGAAGCCTTTTCATTGAAGGTAAGAAAAGAATAAAAACTATGTTTATAATATTTCTGTGATGAGGTATTTTGGTTTTCTTTTAATGTTTTGAGACAAGTGTTACCCAAAACTTAATGAAGACTTCTCTATAAATATGTTCAACCTTCACACTTAAAACTTAAACAACCAAGATAGTTACACAGGTTTGTATAAAACTACCCCATTAGGGGGATCCCTGGGTGGCTCAGCCGTTTAGCGCCTGCCTTTGGCCCAGGGTGCAATCCTGGAGTCCAGGATCGAGTCCCGCGTCGGGCTCCCGGCATGGAGCCTGCTTCTCCCTCCTCCTGTGTCTCTGACTCTCTCTCTCTCTCTCTCTCTCTCTCTCTCTCTACGTCTATCATAAATAAATAAATTTTAAACAACAACAACAAAAAAAACTACCCCACTAGGCTAAAAATCAATTTGCAAGCAGAATTAAAATTGAAAATGCCTCAAGGGCAGCTCGGGTGGCTCAGTGGTTTAGCGCCGCCTTCAGCCCAGGGCCTGATCCTGGGGACCTGGGATCGAGTCCCACATCGGGCTTCCTGCATGGAGCCTGCTTCTCCCTCTGCCTGTGACTCTGCCTCTCTCTCTCTCTGTGTCTCTCATGAATAAATAAATAACATCTTTAAAACAAAAAGAAAGAAAAGAAAATGCCTTGAAATTAAGTTTAAAATGCCTCAGAATAGCACAGAAATTAGTGATATAAGCAGGTGCCATTACATCCTGTCCTGTGGAAGGCACTTATAAGCAGTCATGCTACTTTTTCCACTGATCTCGGAGCCAGTCAGAATCTGCTCATCCGAATTACGCTCTTAACTGTTTCTGACTTACATCATTTCACTAATGCCATTAAGACAAAACAAAAAAATAATTAAAAAATAATTTTAAAAATACAAAACAGTAAAAGCACCGAATGTGAAAATTTGGACATTGGAGCAAACTTGGAGACTAAGTGCATCTTCTTTCAAGAGTATCTTCTAAAAAAACATCTTCTGATAAAAAACTTATATTTGTATATAAAATGCTTTCACTTACATTATTCATTTTGGTTTTTGTTACAATTCTGAAATAAATATGATTACCATCATTTTACATATGATGAACATGAGGCTGAGTGTGACTTAACCAAACACTGGTAATAAATTTCTCTTGAACCAGAGTCCCCCACACCATACAGCATGCTTCATTGACAAGTTACCTCATATGCTTCTAGACCCCAGAAAAGTACATGGGGAACTAGTGACAGGTTTGTCACTTCGGATACTTTTGACTGCAAGTATTAGAAGATGCAAGTCAAGATGACTTCAACAATAAGGAAAATGATTATCTCACATAACACGACACAAGATAGGGAGCTTCCAGGGTAGTCAATTTAGCCTCTCAAAAAACAACATCAAGAACACAGATCCTCTCCATTTTGCTACTATGTTGTCCTCATAGTGTTAGCTTTGTCCCTGGTCTTGTTTTTCAGAGGAACTAAATGGCTAGAGACACTAGGCATCAAATCTTTCTACAACATGTAAGTCCTTAGAAACTACTTCTTGGGCACCCTCTTTTTTAAGTTCAAGTAAAATATTTTCCAGAAGCATTCTAAGCAAAGTAACCTTCACATTTTATTGGCCATGATTATGTCATATATCCATTCCTACAACAGTACCTGACCTGGGACTGACTTAAAACTAATCAGGATTCACATCCCTGGTACTAGGGTGAGGCTTACCTAAAGCGCATGGTTACCTGATACCAGAACCAATTGGACTTTTCACATTCAAGCTCCAAGATAATCAAAAGAGTGCTACACATTTTTATGGCAATGGATCTTACTTTAAGCCACCACACCTGGATTTTCTTGCTGGTTCTCCCATAGCTACGTTAACATCTTTCCCGGCCCCCCAAAACCAGGAGTACAAAGTACCACTGTGCTAGCCCATGGCTCAGCCACTGCAATCCCACTTTTCTTGTCCTTTGGAGAACCAGAAGTATGAGTGGGTCTCTGTACCTCATACAAACAGAATAGCTGTACGGCCCAGTGACCAAGGTTTGGTCTCTTCGGGGCTGGCTTTTGTCATCCCTCCCAGCTCCTAATCATTTCTCCATTGGTATCACTGCTGTGATACCAGTAATAGAAAACCTCATTGATTTATTTCCCCAAGATCCAGCTAGGAGTGGGGTGGCCGAATTATATATTGGCTCAACTGCTTTGTCTAACTTGAGCAGATGGGCTTTGACTAATAGAAATCAGAACATTTCTCAGGTGAGGTTGTGCTAAATACCACAATATTATCTCTGAATTACTTTATTATTCATATGAAGATGTTCCTCATCAAACTCAGACATAGGATGATTTTGGGGGGTAAAGATTTATTTATTTTGAAAGAGAGTGGGGCGAAAGCAAAAGAAACAAAAGCAAAAATGAACTATTGGGACTTCATCAAGATAAGAAGCTTTTGCACAGCAAAGGATACAGTCAACAGAACTAAAAGACAACCTACAGAATGGGAGAAGAGATTTGCAAATAACATATCAGATAAAGGGCTAGTTTCCAAAATCTATAAAGAACTTCTTAAACTCAACAGCAAAGAAACAAACAATCCAATCATGAAATGGGCAAAAGACATGAAGAGAAATCTCAGAGAGGAAGACATAGACATGGCCAACATGCACATGAGAAAATGCTCTACATCACTTGCCATCAGGGAAATACAAATCAAAACCACAATGAGATACCACCTCACACCAGTGAGAATGGGGAAAATTAACAAGGCAGGGAACCACAAATGTTGGAGAGGATGCGGAGAAAAGGGAACCCTCTTGCACTGTTGGTGGGAATGTGAACTGGTGCAGCCACTCTGGAAAACTGTGTGGAGGTTCCTCAAAGAGTTAAAAATAGACCTGCCCTATGACCCAGCAATTGCACTGCTGGGGATTTACCCCAAAGATTCAGATGCAATGAAACGCCGGGACACCTGCACCCCGATGTTTCTAGCAGCCATGTCCACAATAGCCAAACTGTGGAAGGAGCCTCGGTGTCCATCGAAAGATGAATGGATAAAGAAGATGTGGTTTATGTATACAATGGAATATTCCTCAGCCATTAGAAACGACAAATACCCACCATTTGCTTCAACGTGGATGGAACTGGAGGGTATTATGCTGAGTGAAGTAAGTCAATCGGAGAAGGACAAACAGGGTACGTTCTCATTCATTTGGGGAATATGAATAATAGTGAAAGGGAATATAAGGGAAGGGAGAAGAAATGTGTGGGAGATATCAGAAAGGGAGACAGAACATAAAGACTCCTGACTCTGGGAAATGAACTAGGGGTGGTGGAGGGGGAGGAGGGCGGGGGGTGGGGGTGAATGGGTGACGGGCACTGAGGGGGGGCACTTGAGGGGATGAGCACTGGGTGTTATTCTGTATGTTGGTAAATTGAACACCAATAAAAATTAATTTATTTAAAAAAATAAGGCATGGGGCAGGCACATTTTAAGTGAAAAAAAAAGAGTGGGGGGAGCTGGTAGGGGCAGAGGGAGAAGGCAAATCTCAAGCAGACTCCCTGCTGAGTGCAGACTCCCCCTCCCCCCCTTGCCGGCCTCCCTCCAACACAGGGCTCCATCTCACAACCCTGAGATCATGACCTGAGCTAAAATCAAGAGTCTGGACCCTTAACTGACTGAGCCACCCAGGCGCCCCATCGTAGGATGACTTTTAAGTCTCTTCCAAAAGGAGAAACCCATAACAGGAATGGGTTGTCCTCTTAGGTAAGATAATCATGAACAGAACTTGAAGAACACTCCTGTCCAATTGCATACAACATGAGGAGGACTGAAGAGGACCTGGGATACCATACTTGTCCTAAGAGTGTCCAAAACCTGCAAAAGCTGGGGTGCCAGGGTGGCTCAGGATTGAGCCCCATATTGGGCTCCCTGCTCAGCGGGGAGTCAGCTTCTCTCTCTGCCTCTGCTTCTCCCCTCTGTGTGTGCTTGTGCTCTCTCTCAAGCTCTCACTGTCTCTCAAATAAATAAAATCTTTTTTTAAAAAATGTAG